GATTCAAAATTTCACAGTGTCAACAAATCCCAAAAAAGTTGGGACAAGTAGCAATAAGTGGCTGGAAAAAGGAAATTGAGCATATAACAAACAGCTGGAAGACCAATTAACACTAATTAGGTCAATTGACAACATGATTGGGTATAAAAAGCTTCTCAGAATGTCAGTGTCTCTCAGAAGCCAAGATGGTAAGAGGATCACCAATTCCACCATTGTTGTGCAGAAATATAGTGCAGCAATACCAGAATGGTGTTACCCAGCGTAAAATAGCAAAGACTTTTAAGTTATCATCATCAACCATGCATAACCTCATCAAAAGATTCAGAGAATCTGGAACAATCGCTGTGCGTAAGGGTCAAGGCCGTAAAACTCTACTGGATGCTCGTGATCTCCAGGCCCTTAAACGTCACTGCACCTCAAACAGGAATGCCACTGTCAAGTAAATAACAGAATGGGCTCAGGAATACTTCCAGAAAGCATTGTCAGTGAACACAATCCACTGTGCCATCTGCCGTTGCCAGCTGAAACTCTACAGTGCAAAGAGGAAGCAATTTCTAAGCAAGCTCCACAAGCTCAGGCATTTGCACTGGGCCAGGGGTCATTTAAAATGGAGTGTGGCAAAATGGAAGACTGTTCTGTGGTCAGATGAGTCACGATTTGAAGTTCTTTATGGAACACTGGGACGCCATGTCATCCGGACCAGAGAGGACAAGGATAGCCCAAGTTGTTATCAACACTCCGTTCAGAAGCCTGCATGACTGATGGTATGGGGTTGCATGAGCGCTTGTGGCATGGGCAGCTTGCATGTCTGGAAAGGCACCATTAGGATGTTCTTTGGACGTATTCTCATCTACCTGCCAGCTGTGCCCAAGTGTCTGACCACTGAGATCCTGGAACTAGCAGGAAACACGGCTCATGACAGCTGAAGGACAGGATCGTCCATTGGCACCTACAGTTGGCTGTCTGCAGCAACGAGGAGCTCGGCAGTCTGCTGGGAGGCGTGGCCATTGCGCTGGGAGGAGTTCTGCCTGCCATTAGGGCGGTCCTACAGCCCAGGGGAACCGAGAGGTCAGCTGAGTCTGGGTGGACGGATCGGACGGCATCTGCAGCCAGTTTCTTAGGATCCACTGTGGGATGGACCTTTACAAGAGATCCTTCCTGCCTACAGCCATCTGCATCTATAACATCTCTTAATGAAATGAGGATAACGAGTTACAACAACAAATAATTTCCCTTTGGGATTAATAAAGTATTTTCGAATTGAATTGAATTGAATTAATGCAGAGAACAATGTTCAGGTTCTAGAACAACATATGCTCCCATCTAGACGTCATCTCTTTCAGGGAAGACCCTGCATTTTTCAACACGATAATGCCAGACCACATTCTGCAGCAATCACAACATCATGGCTACGTAGGAGAAGGATCCGGGTACTGAAATGGCCAGCCTGCAGTCCAGATCTTTCACCTATAGAGAACATTTGGCGCATCATAAAGAGGAAGGTGCGACAAAGAAGGCCCAAGACGATTGAACAGTTAGAGGCCTGTATTAGACATGAATGGGAGAGCATTCCTATTTCTAAACTTGAGAAACTGGTCTCCTCGGTCCCCAGACGTCTGTTGAGTGTTGTAAGAAGAAGGGGGGATGCCACACAGTGGGAAAAATGGGCTTGTCCCAACTTTTTTGGGATTTGTTGACTCCGTGGAATTTGGAAACAACAGATTTTTCCCTTAAAATGATACATTCTCTCAGTTTAAACTTTTGATCTGTGATTTGTGTTCTATTCTGAATAAAATATTAGATGTTGGCACCTCCACATCATTGCATTCAGTTTTTATTCACAATTTGTTTAGTGTCCCAACTGTTTTGGAATCCAGTTTGTAGTAAATATCCTGATGCATGCTCAATAATCCTGGTAGAAAAATGTAAAAATGTTCAATCTGGTCCTCTGGACATTCAAAAAACAAAACAAAGTCTTTCGAATGAAAGACGAAACATTTCTACTATTTGTTGTGTTTGTTTGCTTTGTTTTGTTTTTTGAATGTCCAGAGGACCAGATTGAACTTTTTTAGATCAAATAGTAAACGCTTCTAGTTTTGGAGAGGAGTGTTTTACTGGACTGGAACAGATCACGGAATGCAAGTAAACCTTAATGTTTTTGGTGCAAGATATTTAAGTGAGTAGAAGTTACACTGTGTAGAAGAACAGAGGTAGAGGAATCCCAGGGAGCAAAAGGAACTATTTTGTTCACAACCAGGTACAATAGTGGTAACAGGGCTTGGTCATCAAAGATTAATCTTCTGCCACCCCAACCATGGTAGGAAACTATACTTTTAAGCAATATAAAAACTGCAAGGTATAGTTTCCTAAAATGATTGGGGTGGCCAATCACTGTCTGGTTTAGACGAGGCTTCTGTCTGGGATGACAGCCATGCCAACCATCTTTATGCAGTGTGCGGCATATGGTCTTAGCTCTGACAGGCTGACCCCCCACCCCTTCAACCTCTGCAGCAATGTAGGCTGCACTCATACATCTATTTTCATAAGACAACGTCTGAATATGACGCTGAGCACGTGCACTCAACTTCTTTGGTGGCCGACCATGGCGAGGCCTGTTCTGAGTGGAGCATGTCCTATTAAATTGCTGTATGGTCTTGGCCACCGTGCTGCAGCTCAGTTTCAGGGTGTTGGCAATCTTCCTATAGCCTTGGCCATCTTCATGTAGAGCAACAATATGTACAATATACAACAATATATTTGCAAGCTCTCAGCAGTTTTACATTGTAGAGGCAGTGGTATATAAGTGTGCAGTGACTGTTGAAGGCTAGTTGGTGACTCTAAAAGACAAGAAAATATGTCAGTTTTCAACTGCACGAACAGCTGAATTTTGGGTGTTTGTGACCAGCGAACTGATCAACTGCAGTTTGAATGGCCAGGTTTTGAAAATACCAGCTTATTTGGCCATGAAGATTATTTTGTTACAGACCTCCACCCACACTGTACCCCCACGGACTTCCTAACGTTTATGATTTAAGCTCACCTTTCAAATGAAGAAGGGCAGATTTGGAACAATTAAAAAATATATATATATATCATCATTGTGGTTTTTAGACCTTATTGTCTCATTAGCTATTTTGAGAACAATCTTTGAAGCTGCTCATCAACTTGTCTCAGCCCAGTCAGATATTGTCATAATGGTGCATGAAGTCGACGGTAAAGCTGCACAGTGCTCAAACACATGCCGGGTTATTGGGCCTGCAGAATTTGTTGGACTTACTTTATGGTGAACAGCTGGCTGACAGTCCTCCAGTCTGACCCCAAAAGCTTTAGGAGTGTCTGCTTTCTTGTTTTTCTTCATGATGTTGATGCCCCATAAAGCCTTGTTGTCTTCTGAGAGCAAAGACACAGAAAACAGTTCAATGCTTCATTAGACTACAGGTCTGAAACCCCATGACTTTGGGGCCGCATCCTCTCTGGTTCCTCTGCAGTGGCTCTTTGTAGTTTGGACCAAAAGTAACATGGACATTATTGGGGACTGCCTTTTAAAAGGCAGACACTTATTAACATTCACCTCAGAAAACAGGTTTCTTAACTTTATATGTTAGCACTTCTGTCAACTTTAATGCAAGCCGAACCGCAACGTGTACCCCCACAAATGTTATATCATAACAACCAGCTCGGCACCATGATGTGTGCTATTACTTTTATTGGTGTTTCAAGTTACCATGGCGACGTATTTTGCTAACAAAGATGCCATATTTCCCTAGTAATCATCAGATGTATCTCTAGAACTGATTAATGTTTGGAGCCATTTTGTTTCATGATGGCTGCCAGAGCTACCTCAGCAAACACATAACTGACTATACTACTCGGTCATTCTTTGAGATACTGAGCTGAAATTAGGTATGGTTGTAGCTGTGAGCTAGTTGTTATACAATCCTAATGAAAATCAAATATCCAAGATGGCCGCCTTAGGTAAAAGAGAAAAAATACAATAACTCAACCATTTTTAGAATTAAGCTGGAATTTGGCATATCAGTAACTGAGAACGATCACTAATAGACTCTGACTGAAAATCAAAAATCCAAGATGGCCACCTTAGCTAAAAAGGAAAAAATACCATAACTCGGCCAGTTTTAGAGCTATTCAGCTCAAATTTGGTATAGTGGTAGCTGAGAGTGAACCCCAACACATAGTACAGTCAAATCAACTATTTAAATTGGCCTGGCAGTCCCCGTCAAAGTTTCTCCAGGAACTTTCTAGTTAATATTTATATTCATAACCACAACATAAAAGGCTGTTGTTTGCAGGGTCTTTTTTTGGTCCCGTTTAAGGCAAGTACAGTATGCGATTAAAACTTCTGCAGCAGAATGAAACTACTAATACAAGGATTTTCAATAACTGGTTCCTGCTTTTCGGATTCAGCTGGTGCTGGTTGTATCTACTATCAAGGAAGTCGTCAGCAGCAAATTTGGACCCGATCACGCTGCTTGCCTTTATGATGGCTTGGTTCATGTCTGGAGTACCCGGACTCAAATGTTTTGGGCTGAATGGATCAGATCTTGGGGATTTTTACTCAGACACGTTTCCATCGGTGTGGCCATGTTAATTTGGACATTTTGGAACCGAGTAGACCGACACAGACTGAAGGTTGATGTCATTAAGTTCTGCCTGTCCCCAAAACAACTGTGTGTTTATCTGAATTTGGTCGCCTTGGTTGTCCTTGAAGGCCATCTTATCTAAAGTCGCCTGGAGAACATGTGATCTGATGCTCACCACCCCCTCCCTGAAGAATTTCCAACTGGTAACCAGATGAAATCAGCTGAACAAACTTTGTGTCATCATTTCAGGACTCTGGATTCTTATAGAGGTTATCCTTGGCCATTTCTCGACATACCTCGAGAATGTTTATGGATCTCACCGGAGGACATTGACTGATTACAGTGACCTCGAGAGCATCTATAAACCTTGTTGACCGTTCTCGTCTCTGATGCAGAATGTCTACGTAAATATGTGCTTGTTTGTGCAAGGTGTTTTTTTCAATATTAGGGGTTTTTCTCAGCCAAGAAAAAAGTCTGATAGGAATTTTTTTCGCCTCCAATTCCTACATATGTCCAGTTAACCACTGTTTTTGTCTGTCCAAACAGGTCTCACTTGTAAATGAGTCTTTGAGGCTCAATGTGATTTATCTGTTTAAATAAAGGTTGAATGAAAAAAAAAAAGATTGTATTGATCAGATTGTTGCTTGTAGTTAACCAACATCCAACCAAACAATGTGAGCCTTCTCTGAAAACCACCAGAACGTTCAACTTGTTCATGTATTGAAGCAGTGGTGGGCACGGTTCTGCTACTCTGCTAATACGGTAGTCCTTCGCTACTTTGCAGTTCGAGTTTTGCAGACTCGCTCTTTTGCGTGTTTTCAACATAAGATTTTACACGACACATGATTGGCTAATTTATGGAATGAACCGCACGAGAGGCATGGATTGTTTATTTAAAATAAATTATTTTAAATAATTTTGCACCTGTGCACAGCGCACAGGTGCTGAGGCTCGGTTCAGGTCTTCCGAATTTGGAGCTAGGATCTGAGAGCTCAACTCCTAAAGTCCAGGGTCTGAGTTCATGGTCAAAAATACAGGCATGGGTCATTCACATAGAGGCAGAAAAAGCAAAACGTATACAAGGGTTTTAGCTAGAAATGGTGGTCTGAAGGCAGAACAGAAGTTGAGGTCCAGATGTGTGATGGGCAGAAGAATCCGTCTAGGGCAAGGCAAGGGGAGGAATCCGTGGTCGTGCAGTGGGTCAGGAACAACAACAGGAACAAGATTACTGGATTACTTCAGGCATGAGGTGATCACACACTCATAGAGACTGGAGAGCACTTAAGAAGTGCAGCACGCAAATGCAAAGAAAACAAAAGTGCAGCGCACAGGTTTAGGGACATTCTCCCTCCTGCAGCAGGTGGGCTGACCTGTTTGCCAAGGGGGACTAAAGGCTCAGTTTGGGTCGTACTTGATTGTTTTAAATGAATAATCCATGCTGCTCATGCGGCATGGATTGTTTATACCATACCATACCGTTTTATTTATAGAGCACTTTAAACAGCGACAAGGCCAACCAAAGTGCTGTACAGACAGAACAACAGGTAACACACAAAGCAAAATACAAAATGAAGTAAATCAAAAATATACACATGAAAATGATGCAGATAATGATGACTAACCAGTGTGGAGGATACAGGTTCAAAACACAGATCATCTGGTGTTGAAAGTTACTGAATAGTAGTGGGTTTTTAAACAGGACTTGAAAACCGAGAGGGAGGGGGCTGTCTGACAAGCAGAGGTAACTCGTTCCAAAGTCTTGGTCCTGCTACAGAGAAGGCCCTGTCACCTCTGCGCTTAAGACGAGTTCCTGGAACTGTGAGGAGCAACTGGTCCGCTGACCTCAGGGAACGTGGTGGGACATGCGGTTGTAGCAGATTGGAGAGATGGGGGGGGGGGGGGGACTGTTCAGTGATTTGTAGACATACATGAGTATTTTGAACTGGATTCTAAGGTGAACCAGTAACCAGTGCAGTGAGGCCAAAACTGGTGTAATGTGCTCTCTTTTGCATGTACTGGTTAAAAATCAGGCTGCTGCATTCTGGACCAGTTGTAGTCGTGCAATGGAGGTTTGACTGATACCAAACAGGAGTGAATTGCAGTAATCAAGCCTAGATGTAATGAATGCATGTATTACTGTCTCCAGGTTCTTTTTGGACAATATGGGCTTCAGTTTAGACAGCCGCCTCAGTTGGAAGAAACATGATTTAACAATCATGTTTACATGATTGTTAAGTTTCAGGGAAGGGTCCATTATCACTCCCAGACTAGTCTCTTTGTTTTTCTGACACGGTTAGAGCGGAGAGGTCGATGCAGTGGTTTGTGATCGTGTCGTTGGGAGGGAACAACATGACTTCAGACTTCTTTTCATTGAAACTTAAGAAGTTTAAAGCCATCCAGTCCCTGATGTCAGCCAGGCAGTTGAGCAGCGGTTGAATAGAGCATGTGCCATTGTGTCTTAGGGGGAAGTAAATTTGACAGTCATCGGCATAGAAGTGGAAGGTCATGTTGTGTTTCCGGAAAATAGCACCAAGTTTATACATATATATAAACCGGATTTTTTAAATCTGAGTTTAAACTGAGAGAATGTATCATTTTAAGGGAAAAATCTGTTGTTTCCAAATTTCCTGGCGTCAACAAATCCCTTTTTCCAGCCACTTATTGCTAATTGTCCCAACTTTTTTGGGATTTGTTGACACTGTGAAATTTTGAATC